GATCTTTCTGATATAATTCCTCTGTGTATTCTTGCCACCTCTTCTTGATGTCTTCTGCTTCTGTGAGCTCCCTACCATTTTTGTTATTTATCATGTATGTCTTTGCATTTATCATGTCCTTTAGTATCTCCTATTTTCTTGAACAGATCTCTGGTTTTTCCCTTTCTGTTCTTTTCCTCCATTTCTTTGCACTGTTCATTTAAGAAGGCTCTCTTGTCTCTCCTTGCTATTCTTTGGAAGTCCGCATTCAGTTTTCTGTAACTTTCTCTATCTCCCTTGCATTTTGTTTCCCTTCTTTTCTCTGCTATTTGTAAGAACTCGTTGGACAGCCACTTTGCTTTCTTGTATTTCCTTTTCTTTGGGATGGTTTTTGTTGCTGCCTCCTGTTTATGAGCCTCCGTCCATAGTTCTTCAGGCACTCTGTCCATCAAATTGAGTTCCTTAAAACTGTTCTTCACTTCCACTGTGTATTCATAAGGGATTTGGTTTAGATCATACCTGAGTAGCCCAGTGGTTTTTCCTAGTTTCTTCAGTTTAAGCTTGAGTTTTGCTATAAGAAGCGGATGATCAGAGCCACAATCAGCTCCAGGTCCTGTAACACATGCCACTACACAGAGATATTTTCTCCCACACACATAAGGAGGCAGATAGGTAAGCAAACAAGCATTCACACATGTAAATACCCATGGAGGGCTGCCAACTCAGATAAAGTGTCAGGTAAATGTGGGTTGGCTGAAGGGAGCCTGAGCCTGATGTGAGGCAGTGCCCCACTTACCATAATGATCAAGCCGCCAACACTACAAGAACAGGGAGACATCACAATGACTTGAATGTAGTAGCATCTCTTAGTTGAGGGCTGCATGTGTATGTGACATTTCACAACGTCAACATGTTGCAGATTTGAGGAGCAAAATGATAGAGCAGGGAAGTACATCCCATCATTGTTTCAGTTGGAACCCAGTACTCTTGTTTTAACTGATTAAACTGGAAATGAAACCATGCTTGCTTTCCAGTAGTCCCTGCCCTCTCCACAGCCCCAATATTGAAACTAAAAAGTAGCATGGCTTTCTGAGACTTACTCCTGCTTGTGTTTACTGCTGTTATTACTGGAGGCTTTGCCCTTGATGAGATCATCAAGATCTGGGCTTCTTTTGAAATGAAACAAAATAAATGGAAAGAAATAGCAGAAATGTTTTAGTGAACATAATATTACAATTACATATTTCCTCTTCTGAATAAATAAACCACTTCGCATCTTTATAGTTGAACTTCCATCTCTCTCTCTCTCTCTCTCTCTCTCTCTCTCTCTCTCTCTCTCTCTGTATATATACATACATGCATATACATATACATATATATATTAGTGCTAACAGAAGGCCAGTGTCCTCTGTTACTTTGGAACCTTCACCTTAGGCTCCTGTAGCACAAGGACTGAGAACCTTTGTAAGCTCAAGAGCTGAATTCAGTTCTCAGAGGCCACTTTAGAAGGATGCATGGGGGCAAAGGCAAAAGGGGGGCACAAATATCAGCATATATTAGCTTAAAACTAATAACTGAATCTTGGGGGAGGCATTCCAACCTTTAAGAATGGGAGAGGAACCACCAAATGTATCTTGGGGTCTGGGGGTGTAGCCATGTGTGGAACTCCAGCACAGAATGGCTGTATTCATCCCAGGGCATAAGATTCCCCACTTTTGCACAGACTATCAGATTCTCCAGGAGCTTTCAGGAGCCAGATTATCCAAAACTGTGTTTAATGAAGGTGTGGCCTGTTTAAATCCACCTCTTTGTGTCTACTTCAGTGCTTCCCAAACTTGAGTTCCCAGATGTTCTTGGACTACAATTCCCAGAATGTTCAACTTCATAACATTCAGCACTTTACATCATGTTAAATTAGCATATTTATCATACACATATTCCAGACTTTCTCTTGGGAGTTCAGGAGATCAACAGGCGTTCCCATCTCTCTCTCTCCTCTCTCTCTCCTCTCTCTCTCTTTTCCTACTGTTAAATACCCCTAATCCATACCTGCTGCCTGAACTGGCTGCCTTGTCCTGTTCATTGGAAAGACCAGCCAAGGACATATTTCAGGTTATTATTGTTCATCCTTCCCGACATAACACCCAACAAATATTAATATGTCATACCTCTCAGCTCTCTCTGTGACACCTTTGTTTGCACTGGATTCACTGGGTTTTGGCCTATAAAATACATAAAATAGATTTCTTCCACGTAAGTAGCAGTTTTATTTTATTTATAATAATTGCACAAAGGAGACAAACAAATTGCCATGATCTTCCAGACAAGCTAGAAAGAGAAATACGTGGGAGGTGCAGGCATGAATGGGAAACATTTCCAAACTTCAATTTTTAATTTTGCAAGGAAAAGACAATGCATAGTTTTCATCGTTTTCTTACAATGCATGAGAAGATGGTAAAAAAGAATGTAAAACACCAGTGGGTCCACCCATGCCTATACTGTCTTTTCCCATCTACAGTTCCCTGGAAGGACCAAATCTCGAGCTAATACTGTGAGCGAAGATTCTGCACTGGTGAGCCCTGTGTCTTAAGGGTCTATTTTTAGAAAGAGAATTGTAAGGGGCAGATCAGGCTGTTGGAAAAAAGATGACTATTACTAGCACCTCTTGATGACATTAGAGTAGACCACAAGTAAGCACCTAAATATAGGATTAAGGCCCAGTCAGGTGTATGTTATGGGTTCATGTAGGTATTAGACATACATAAACCCCTTTTTACTCATAGTCTTTCTGGAAAGTTAACAGGCAAACAAAATGGAACTCCTCATGCAAAAGCACTCTGAGTCATTTAGAGAACAGGTAGGGATAAATATAGCTAGATAGATTTTCAATATTTAGCATCCCACATGGAGAAAATGTTATTTATGTATGATTATTTCTTAGTTATATTTATAACCTGGCTTTCTTCCAATGAATTAAAGGTAGTGATATGGCTCCTTTTTCTTCCTCATTTTAATCGCACAACAACCCTGTGAGGTAGATCAGGCTAAGAGACACTGACTGCCCATGTGGGTATCATGGCCTGGTGGGGATGAGAACCAGGACCTCAGAAGTCCCAGCCCTTTGTTCTAACCAGTACCTGTACTGGATGCTAGAAGATAGCTTTGTTGTTTGGGAATACTCCTCAGTTCAGCCCTCAGCCTGGATTCCCAGGTAATGGTGGTGGCCAGAAGAGCTGTCTTCTGAGCTGGGCATGGTGACACATGCCTGCAATGTGCTCTGTGGGCCTTCCTTTGAAGACGGATTGGATCCTTCAGCTGGTCCAAAATTCCACAGCCAGACTGGTGACTGGTGACTGATGGTGGGACTGTGCAGCTCTTGGCAGCATATGATTCCCTTTTTAAAGACAGCTACGCTAGTTGCTGACTCAGTTTGTGGCACAATTCACAGTACTGGTTATGACTGATAAAGTCCTATACAACTTGTGTCCATGCTATCTGAAAGATTATATTCCCCCACACATGCCAGACTTTGAAATCGGTGGTACAGATCCTTCCCTCTGACCTTCCAACTTTAAAGGCACATTTCATGAGGACTTGAGAGCGTGTCTTTTCAGCAACTACTTTCAGCTTTTAGAAACCACCCCCATTCATTTTATTTATTCTATTCATTTTTTTTGTTCTTATTTTTGCTATAGTTAAACATCTGGCTGCATAGGACACTGGGTTGGAACATCTGGCTGCAGAGCTAGGGGTCAGAAGTTTGTGCCTGTGAAGGTAACAAGCAGCCTGTGTAGTCCCAGCACCAAAAAAAGGAGGAATAGTAAACCATTTCTGAGTACTTCATATGTTTTTTTTTTAAAAAAAAATCTGTGAAGGGCCACTGTAAGTCAGAGGCAATGTGGTGGCACATAATGATAATTATAGTTAAACAACAGAAAAACTCCACTGTGATCACCAAATAAATGCTTTATCATTAGGCAGAGTGAGACCACTGCTTCAAGTGGAAGATGATGGAGGGAAACATAAGCCTTCCAACCATCCTTCTGATCACCAAGCATTTTCCAGTTGGCTCCTGTATATGGAATGGAGTACCAGCTTGTCCCTTACCTCTTTACATAAAACATCTTGGGCCATACAGACATCCACCTGTAGACCCTAACTGGCCTTCTGCTTTTACTGACCTACGCATAGGAATTATGTGAGAAATGGCTCAAATATGGAAACATTTTAGCCAGAATCCTATTGACATTCTCAAGTAGAGACGCTAAATCAATAGGATTTACATACGTTTTGCTTCTTCATTCAATGTCTGATTCAATGATTTTTCTCTAAAGTTGGCTAGTAATAGGATTTAGGGCTAGGGATTATATTCAGATGTCATCCAAGAATCAAAATCAAGCAAAATTTCATTTGGAGTAGGAGCAGTTCACCATTTCTGCAGTGTGAATCATTAGGTGAAATATCTATGAACATGAGACTCAAGCAACAGCATCTTAGCACCTAACCACTCCGAATGAAATACTGTTGCTTTCCAGTTTTTCTGTTCTGTCACTAAATCAATGTCTCTCTTTTTCATGGGGATAAAAGTTAATGCTGATTGAGTTGGCAACCTACCAACCATCAATGAGGTGTAACATGCCCACACACAAACCTTCCAAAGAAATATTATTTTGGTCACAAAAACCGCCAATAAGGGTTCAGTGGCTTAATTCTAAGGAAACAGCTTAAGAAACAAACACTACAAGCAGCACAATGTTAAGATTAGAATATCACATTAGAATTTACACACATGTGGTGAAGTCTTAAGCCTTTTATACCAATGTCATTGCATCAGGAAGTCCATAAAGCAGGATGACACATTGCACTTTAGGTATTTGCAATGTCCATAAAGGCTGTCTTTGCTGTAGAGAAAAATGTCAAGTAGAGAAGTAATAATATGGGGTCTGCTACCACCAAATATATCATCATTAAAAAGGACAGAATCCTATTGGGATTTTAGTCCAAACTCAGTGAAATCAAATAAGTTAAAGCAGTGAATTGCTGCAATTTAATAAACTGTGTGCCTGATCACATGACTTGTACCTTATTAAATAACTGCAATTTGCTCCCTTGACTCACATGGTTTCACTTACTCCAGAACAAAACTCCAATAAGGATCAAGGTCTTTGAATAATAGAGCTGGACAGGATCCCAAGGGTCATCAAATCCAGTCCTACAAATGGAAGTGGGGGAAGGAGAGATGCTTGTGGGAGGGAAAGAACCCAAATCTGAAACCATTTGGTTGGACTGCAGCCTCTAGCCTTCCCAGGAAGTAAGCACTATAGGATTTACTTCTGAGTGAACATGCATACGATTGTGCTACCTGTTGAGAATGCCATGGCACAAAAGGGCCTTAAATGATTGATACATTATGTAACAAGCTGAGGCAACCTACTGTAAATGCACCTTCTCAGTCTTGCACCTTCAAGACTGAGATGTTTTATTTGGCATAAGCTTTAACTGACTGTAGCCCACTTTTTCAGATGTATCAACTATTCACAAAACCTTATACCAAATAAAATGTACTAGCCTTTCAGGTGTCACAGGACTCTTGTTTATTTTTGTAGCACAAGACCATACAGCCTAGCACAACTAATTCTGGAAAGGAAATCAAGAACTTGCCAGGTCCTTTCACCTTCATGCATTTTTTTTTATTTCTATGCATCAATGACAAGATTTCCACTTGTCTGATGATAAGAGCATTGCCCTATTTTTTATAAATAAAAGCATAGATAGCTCCACCCCTAGCATTATGAAGAATAAGGTGACCCGCCTTGCTTTTCAGATTTGCAGCTCCTATTAGATTGTAAATTCTTTTGTTTGTTATATCCTTTCAAAATATTAAATCCACCACTTAGATTTTCTTCCTCAATAACCCAAAAGCTTTGGGATAATGATCTCTGAATACAGATTATAATATAAATGAAACTTATTCATCATCTTTCCATTATAAAGTGGCCTACAATTTCATACGTCTCCCTACTCAAGACATGAGAAAAGTGTAGCCCCTACCCCTGACTGATGGATGTTTGGATGGAAACTCCCATTAGTTTTAGCCAGAATAGTCAATGGTGAGAAATGGTGGAAGTTGTAGCCCAACAACTTTTGGAAGGCCCTATGGGTCCCTTCACTCCTCTGCTTTCAATGCTTTCTGAACTAATGAAGAGAAGTCCAAAATTATGTCCAAAAGAGATTCCATGTACATTCCCATCTGGAGGAAAATAAATATTAGGGACTTCCTTGTTGTACCTCCCTGTATAAAGAGTTTCAAACATATCTTTTAAACATGTTACTAGTCCTTCAACTCCAGAGCACATTTCTGTGGCCATTGATGCATACATTTCCATAAGTTGTTTTTGGCTTAACGCTCTGCCTGTGTTAACTGCACGTACTGTAAATACACCCTTTCCCATCAACCGTGCTCTGTTGCCTCTCCCATTGTCAAATTTACATTGTACACTCATCATAACAAATTGTTATTCTCTTTTCTGTTCAGCATACAAAATTCTGAAGTACTGGCATTCCTGTATAAATAATAAATAATAAATAAGAATAATGATTGCACAACGATTTGTCTGTTGAGCCTGCCTACATTTCATACTGCATTTTATATGTTTTTTGTATGTTGCTTTATCATGAGATTCAATAAGCCACCCTACAGAATGCAGACATATGCAGGGAGTGGAAATGGAGATACAATCTTTTTCAGAGTAAAAAAAAGTAAGTGACATTCCTTCATTTGTGCAATGGATTGGATGTAGAGTATATTCACTTAGGTGAATGGGATTTAAGTTGTGCCCGAAATGCAACTTAAGCCTAAAACCAATTATTAGTTCCAATGAGTAAACTCAGTGGATCAACTGCCGAATGATAAATCCATACCTACATAAATTCCACTGATCCAATGTGTTTACTCGAGTTGGCACAAGAAATTGAATTTAAACCATTGTCTAGGTTCAACCTAAAAATGTCCGTTGCAGACCAAGATATCTAGGTTCATAATGAATACCTAGCCTGAACCTGTGGCTAACCAGATATCTTTGAGAAGCCCATAGCAGGATATAGATCACAGTAGCACCTCATTATGGGCATGCACCAGTGCATCCTTTGAGTTTATCAACAGCCAGAAAGCTTTTACGAACGCCCTCAATGGCAGGGAAATTTTTATTTAATTTTATTTAAA